TGGGGTTGATACCCATGGGGGAGTGGGGTTGATACCCATGGGGGTGGGGTTGATACCCATGGGGGAGTGGGGTTGATACCCATGGGGGTGGGGTTGATACCCATGGGGGTGGGGTTGATACCCATGGGGGGAGTGGGGTTGATACCCATGGGGGTGGAGTGGGGCCAAGAAGGGAGTTTGGTTCCTCCTACTTTATCTCTGTAGTGGAGCGACTGTGTTAATTGTTTGTGAAATTACACAGATACAAAAATATACCTTTTTTCATTTTCATAACAGGAGGCTTTGAGTCCTCATATACACATTCCATCAGTTCCATTCAATTCACATGCATAGGATCAGGACACTTTTTATTAAATTTGAAGTTGAATTACCTTACTGGAGATCTGATATTCATTATGTTTTAGTAGTATTCCTTTCTTTTCTGCCAGCAAATCAACCTCTACAGAATCCAGAGCCATAAGATCTTCATAATTGTAGCCAAGAATGTTTGGGTTCTGTTCCCGTCGTACTCTAGCACTTAGAGTTTTGAGATCTGACAGATCACCTAGTGATGGCTTGGGCAACTCTGAAAAATGAGTATCAATGATTATTAGTTAGTTATTAGTATTAGTGATGATACAAAAAATTATCAAAAATTTTATTAGAGTGCAAACAATTAATCCATGGAACACTAATTACTAAATAGTACAAATATAATAGTGCTAATTATACAATAGAAAACAATGGAATTTGTATGAAATTGTGCTATTTAGTATTACTAAAGTTTCACGGTTATATTGTTTGCACGCTGAAATAACCTATAGGCTGATCAAAGTTAGGGATGGCAAACTCATAGATTGAATTGGATTTAAGTGTGTTGGGCTTTGTACAAAGGCATGGTGAGGTCTTAAACACAGGGGGGCAGGGTATCATTTTCTCAATGGCCAATAAAATGGCATGGTACATTTTTCATCTTTAGAGTTGCTCTCCATATCCACAGGAGGGTTAGAGAGAAGCATTTGAGCAACCCTTAAAATCAAGGGAGAGACCTAATAAACTTAACCCATGTCATGTGACTTGTATATATGATGCTGAGTCCAGGAATAGACCTCCTCGGCTTTGGAGCGCTCGAGCATAATGTTGTCCCATTTCAGACCATGTGTCATTCCATTGAGATTAATATTCTTTGTTTGAGTCATATCCATATTCATGTGTTTTCTCATGTGCGACCGAGCGCAAACCTTAAAGAAATGATACTCTAGGGAATGACACATGGTCTGAAATGGGAAAAAAATTACGCCAGAGCCGAGGAGGTCTATTGAACCCAAAACCCCAAAGTTAAGAGGTCAGTGCATTACTGCTATCTATACCCAGGGCTTTAACTTTTAACATTCAGGAATCTTACTGGGATCTTACTCTCTAACAATTACACTACTGTTTCTTAGTTAGTGCAGACCTGATAGATATATCTGTGTTTTCCCCTTTATATATATATGTATTTATTGATGGTTTTCAACCATTCCCTAGAGAATTAAATAACAAAAGACACGGCAGCCATGTTGGAGGATATAACAAAAGAATTCATTGACAATTCTTTTGTTAAGTTCCTCCAACATGGCCGCCATGAAAACCATCAATATATACATATTGATTTATAAAATATTTAAATTTAACGTGCGCTCTGATTGGCTGGCTAACATGTTTATATCAGAGGACAGAGGCACTGCTTGCACAAAATCCTTCAAAAATATTTTATAAAAGCATTATAAAAAGGCTGGTTATGTCTCTGTACTATAATATAAACATACTGGGAGCGGAGACGGGTGCCCATTTTATATTATTCCCTAAATACAAACCTGAGTCCACAAATGACTCCAGTGCTTTTTCTGAGACTGGTTTTCCTTGCTGTGCAAGAGCTGTCAGTGCTAGTGCCTTGTACAGACCATCTCTAGTGATGAAGCCTTCCTGTTTGGGGTCAATGGCCTCCCAGATCTATTTACGATACCAAATCGATTTTTTCAGGGAAACGAAAAATGTGAGAAAATCTTAAACCATTTTTAAAAACTCCATGGAGATATTTTTATCGTTTAAGATAGTACGATGCTATTTTGTTTGATTGAAAAAAATTTCTAAAGTACTGAATGCGATCTGATAAGTTCATATGTATCCTGGCACGTGCAGATACAGATAAATAACACTAAAGTATCGGTTTTCGTGCGAGTCAAAAGTAATTCTCACTTAAAAATTTAAGAACAAAACATGCATTATGAGCAACCAATTCGCACTTAATAGAGCATATATCGCTATAACTAGAGCTCTTAGGACAACACACGTACCATTGTAAGAGAAGATTTAGGAAGACTAGATTTCACCAGGATCTTTACAAACATTTCTTTCTCTATTTTGTTCTCTTGGTTTGGACAAACTATCTGATAAACCTCCCGATAAAACTGCGGCACCGACCCTAAAAAAACAAAAAAAACAATTAAGTATATTAAACAAACAGGCATTTGCAAAGATTACAGGAGCAAAAGCTTAAAAAAATGGGTTGAAAAAGAGGCTTGAAGTTTGTAAACTTACCAAACGTTAACGAAGCCGCCATCTTGGCGAAGTGAGCTGGATTCAACTACGCATGATCAGTTGACTTGAGTCACGCGGTAATAACAAACACCCCCCTCCCCTTTCTCTTCCTCTGTTACAACATGGCCGATCAAGTAGAAGATTCTTGTCTCTCTAGTTATGATCATTTTTTTCGGCCCGATCTCTTGGCTGGGAAAGTTGCTTTTATAACTGGCGGAGGCTCTGGAATTGGGTTTACTATTGCGGAGATTTTTATGAGGTTGGGATGAATAATTAGGGACTTTCTTAAAGCTTAATTTAAGGGGGTCGTTCAAATGAACTAGAGAATTAAGTTATCTGTGTAGAAAACAATGCAAAGGGGGAGAGGGGTAAGGATATTTTTCTGGGCACAATTCAATCTTTTTCAATTTAGATCACGTTTCATTCTCTCTATTCTCTTGTGTATTATTTCTTTATCATACTGTAAAGTTAGATAAGGTACAAAAATAAGCAAACGAGCCTTTTCCCTTGAGGAAAAATGGAAAAATACTATGCCAAATGGGATGTTCATTCATCCATACTTTCATTCATTTATCACATCCATTCATTCAACAACTTTCCAATCAAATGTAGAATTGATGTAATCTCTTTTGAATTTTTAGACATGGATGCACAGCTGTTATTGGGAGCAGAAAACTTGCAAGAGTTCAAAAGGTTGTACATGTCAATGGGTAGTCAATATACTGGCTGGTCGGGGAGGGCTTTATGTTTATAGTTGGTGGATATATTGATTGCATTTGTAACAGCACTTCCAGGAGATATGGAAGTCATGGAGGGTTTAGGCTCGTGCAGTTTCCAAGGGAGAGGGTGTGGTGTACTTAAGAACAGAGTCACAGTGTGTGTGGGGGGGAGGGGGACATCATCAGTGTGTGTGTGTGTGGGGGGGGNGGGGGGGGGGGCAGTTGGGAGTCTTGCTGTCAAAGCGGCTGTCAAAACAGTGGGTTAAAACTATTGAACTAAAAAGGCAAGGGTTACATTTGTGCGTTAATTGTGGAACTCCAGTGAAAATATAAACTAAAGGTTACACATTGATTATACCATTTTATTATGAGGACTCAATCTTGAGGATGAAGGAATAATGATATGAGGATTTCATATGATAACCATCAGGTGTGAAGCATTGTTTTAAATCCTTTTATGAATATTTGATACTAACAGGCAGCAGATAAACTAGAGAAGGCTACTTCACAAAAATGCTTTCCTTTACAAATGGACGTGAGGAAGGTGAGTTATTTATTTTATTATTGATTTATTATTGAACTTATTTTGATATTTATGAAGGAAAACACTCAATAGAAAGGTTCCAATAGAAATCAAAAGAATAATTATGTTTTTTTTAATTCTTGGGGTGCGTGTGCCATCAGATATACGAGCACTCACCTTCTTGGCTTGTGATGTAAACAAGTAATAAACAAGGAATATTTATTAAAAAAATTTCTGGCAGTCTATGAATCTATCATCAATGTCTTCGTCATATACACAGGTTGACCAAGTTGAAGCTGCTGTTAAACTTATCTTACAAAAATTCAAGAAAATAGACATCGTCGTAAACAGTAAGTGGCCCCAAATGATTCTCTTCTAAAACTGAAAAAAAAAACGTATTGCTATAGCCCCACATACCCCTCACCCATACAGTCATTGTTGCTGTTTAACTAATACTGATGAATCATTAAAACATAGATGCTGCCGGCAATTTCTTGTGTCCTGCTAATAAACTGTCATACAATGGGATGAAAACTGGTAGGTTAAAATAACAGTAGAAATTAATACTGGATGGGTGGCAGTTGATATACCCTTTTATCTTGGGCACAATGTTTTTCCATTTTAGACGCATGTCACTCCCTCAAGTATCATTTCTTTGTTTACTGATTACACATGAGAAGACACATAAATCAATGAATATAACTTAATTGAAAAAGGAATCTTATTCCCAAGAGTACAAAAATACTAAAATATTTTTAAAAACCCTTATTTTGAAATTTGGTTGTAGAAAAAAATTTTTTTTTCAAAACTGGTCTGTCACTATTGACAACTACTAGCTCAGCTAAACAGAGCACATATATTTGTGATATACCATTAGTAATATTATACTAATATTTTTTATCTTGTTTCAGTATTTGAAATTGATACCTTTGGTACATTCAATGTCAGCAAGGCAGTTTACAACTCATGGTTTAAGGTAGTCATAACATTTCCATGGATTTTGTGTCTGTAAGGGGAGGGCTTGCCAGATAATGGCTGCACATATATACATGCAACATACAGTTGTTGATACCTTTGTTACATTCAATGCCAGCAAGGTAGTTAACAACTCATGGTTTAATTAAGGTATTCATAACATTTTCGTGGATTTTCTGTCTGTAGGGGGAGGACTTGCCATATAATGGCTGCACATTTATACATGCAGCATGCAGTTGTTGATGCTGATGTCTTTGCCATGACTTGTTTTCTTTTTAACTTGGACTTAGGATCATGGTGGAAGCGTTGTGAATATAACTGCAACACTACACCACGCGGCTACACCTTTTCAAGTAAGTATTCATTTCATCAGGTATCCTATCAAATTACTGTGATGTACCAATATTCCAGTTTTCAAATTCTCTGTTGCTAAGGGTTAGCCTTGATCCTCGTGTTCCTGTGAAGATTCGTGGAATTTTGATTAAGTTTTTGCACTGGAAAGTAGGCTAACCCAGCTGAGTAAATGGGTCTATAAACACCACAGTATTTTGAAAAATTTAAAGAAAGGTTCATTGCTGACAAAATGTTCTCTTTGCAGTGTCATGCAGGCTCGGCAAAGGCAGCTATTGGTGAGTATCAGTCACGGGGGTAGGGGTAGGTAATGGCACCCTAATTAGCAATATGAAACAAAATATGAAATGTAGCCCTAAGGTTGTAGGGGATAAGAGAAAGGACACAACTATTCTTTTGAAATACCTTGCAAGACAGAATAAGAGTCTTTGCTTTTGGGTGTCTTGATTGCTTCTTTGGCATGCCCTCTGTGGTAAGATTAATCTGACAAGGAAAGACTGGAAGCAGCCCCTTCCTCCATCCTTTTACCGCACAGGGTTCCCAAGCACATCTCGTATTGGTTTTGACATGTCAATGATATGATGAATGATTTTCAGAGGCTATGACTCGTCACTTAGCAGTGGAATGGGGGCCTGATGGAGTGAGGTTAAACTGTGTCGCTCCTGGTGCCATTAAAGATACTGTTGGATTTTCAAAATTAGGTAAGTAGTGATCGTCTTCTGAAACCAAGGAATTTTGTGGATGGAGAAAAGAGAGAGAAGCAAGAAAAAAACCCTCGAATCAAGGGGTAGGCCTCACAAACTCTACTGACATGTGATGCAGAGTCTGGGAATCGAAACTGAGACCCCAGAGGTGAGGGCGAGTGTACCATCACTACACAACACCCTTGATTCCTGTTACGCACGAACTTTGCAACAACTGCAACAGTGTTCCTTATCGCCCCACCACACCTTACTTGCTTATCCTTAACTTTAATTGGTCTCCTGTCCACGGCAGATGATTCGGTCCTGATATCGAATGGACCAATTCCACTTGGGCGTAATATCTTTCCATTTCAGACCATGTGTCATTCTCTTGAAAATAAGGTTCTTTGTTGAGTTGTATTGATATTAATGTGTCTTCTCATGTGCAACCGTTAAATGAAGAAATGATACTCTATAGACAATGACACCTCTACTGAAGTGGGAAAACATTACGCCTAGATGGATTTGGTCCATCTAAAGCTAAACTTTTCTTTTTTTCCTGCGAAGGTGGTCCGCAATTAGTTGGAGAAACATCGTTAGGAAAAATTCCACTTGAGAGAGTAGGTACTCGCCGTGACGTAGCAGATGCCGTGCTGTATCTGGGAAGCAATGCGTCATCTTATGTGACTGGGACGACGCTAGTGGTAGATGGTGGAAGCTGGATGTCAGGTGCTACGGTGTTAAACGACATGAAGAAAATGATGAGCAAATTATGATAAAGCAACAATAACCCTTGAATTTGCAATTGCCTCTCACTTCTCCCATTCATTCATCCAAGAGTTCCCTGCCTTCGAGGGAGATACTGCTAGCAGGGAACCAAGAGACCATAAATATGCTCACTTGATTCATCTCGTCAAATCAAATACCCTGATTTATGCTTTTCCATGTCGTGCCTAGGCTCACAGAGGCTTCAAGTGATTTGTACATAGATTCCTATGGTTTTCCAGAGATATCAATGGTGTATAATCATGAAGTACAATTTTATGCATGTCTGAATAAATTAACGTTTATATTTAATATATTTCGTGTGTCATGCGTCTTTTTTGGAAATTTTGTTGCTTTGCGTGCGCAACGTTTGTCAATGAGAGCTGTTAATGTTAGGTAACTCTTGTAAGTCAATTTTGTTGATTATTTTTAAAACAACATTTACGCTTGGCAACGGAAGAATTAGAACAGGCTTAACAAATCATTGTTTGAAGTACAAACGAAGGCACTCAACCAAATAAGTAACTAATAATAAGCAAAATTCGCTTGAGTCGGGCCAACATGTCCACCGAAACGGACGCGCAAAATTTACACAAAGTGATCGGGAATTTGAATGAGTTTTATGAAACTGTTAGCTTGGCAAGAGAGAAGTTTTCTAAGCTCTTTTCTGATGTCTTGCACATCCCGTTGAATGATGGTGAAAGCATTTTAAAGTTGAAGATGTTTGGGAGTCTCTACGAGGACGATTTTGCTTCGCATTTGAAACACTTGACCGACATGTGTTCTACTCTAGAGACTGCAGATGAAAGTCCAGTAACACTGAAACGTTTGAAAAGAAACATTGGTAGTAGCTTATTCAAAGGTAAGATGTCCCTAAAGAAAATTGATGGCATTGATAGTGGCGTTATAAAAGAAAGCATTCAACAAATATCCCAGTTAAAAGAACTGGCTTCTAAGTTCAAGAAGATCAAAGAAGACCAGAAGAATGCGTTTGAAGGCTCAGGAAAGGAAGGCAAGGAAGGAACTGATTTCGAAAAAGCTATCTTATCGAAGGTAAAAACCTTTTGTGCTGAAGAAGCAAAGAAGGCACTTTTTGACAGCGAGTTGGAGACCGACCCTGCGATCCTTTTTGCTCATTTAGAAGATACTGAAAAAAGTCTTCAAGATGTGTGCAAAGTTACATGTAGATACGAAGAAGTTCTGCAAACTGTTCTCGACAGGATGGAAAAAGTGAAAGGCGAAGACAATCAGGATGCTATTGTGGAATATATCTCTGGAATGAAGGATGGAGCGAGAGAGATTGTTCAAGAATGCGATAGGATTTCGAAACAGATTATGAATATTTGACTTGTGTGATCAGTTGCACTCAAGGCTGTAAGGTCGCAGGCTGCTCAAGCTACACAGGCTACAACTGATATACACAGTTCTTTCCTAGCTTTAGATAGACGTTTTTAATCCAATAATTACCAAAACAACAAACAAAAGTGATTTGTAACAAGTAATTCACGCTCAAAACAAACAGAAGCTATAAATAAAATCTGCTCTTGAAGTTGATGAGATTTTGAAGGGCAAATCATCTTTTGTATTGAATTTATCAGTTCCGGGTGATGTTTGCATGAGCGCAGTCTCGATGTTTGCCGATCAGTGCTTGTCGTTTCTTCGTTATAATTTTCGCGCGCTTTATAATGTATGCGGAGATCATGTATGTGTTGTAAGAGCGCCTCGTGGGACGAGACGGGCAAGGATATCACGAATTTTTTAGGCTCTCTTTTTCCTTTTTTCTTTTTCTTGGAATAAAGTTGGTTACTGTAACCACAGTGCTATCGCTATAAAGACGTACTCATGAGTTTCTTCAAACTAAAGACAGATGAACGAGAATGATGCATGGCTCTGGGTATGCGAGTATGCGCATAAAAAACGCGCCCATATTTTATAATTTTCGTTGGAACGAAGTAATATCCTAAAGTTTGAATAAAATACTCTATCACGTGATCTCATAACTGCAAATATATTGAGTTTGATTTGTGTCTTGATATGAAAAGGGAAGAAAGGAATATAGGATGGAAAGGGAAGGGAGGGAGGGTAAAAAGAGGGGAAAGAAAACGAGGGGAAATGAAAAGATGTAGGAAGAGAAGGGAATGAAAGTAAAAAGGATGAAAGGAAAAAAGGATAAAAAACAAAAACACACAAAAAAAATTGTGGATTACCTGTGGTGGTGATTGTTGACCTTTGAAGTGGGCTACCTGTGTTACCAGCTGTTCCTCATTCTCCTTGGGGAGAAAATTTGTTGTATTAATTCAAACATTACCAAAATATTATACTCTGTTCCCTAACGATTACATTTATAGTTACCCAAGATAGAGATATAAAGTAAAATGGGAGCCAGTCCATCTAGTTTCCGTGTGGAACAGACGACCTTACAGCAATATTCTTATTCGACTTTACTCGAGAAGGATGAGAGTAAAAGTGAAAGTTTTCGCCTGTTCCGTGTGACTTCATTACGATATGAAGCCGTTCTTAGTAGGACAGATCAACATCCTAAATGTCTGAGTGTATTTAGAATGGATGATGAGAAGGCTGCGAGGGAGAAATTCAGGTATTAAAGCCATATTTCATGCCAAAATGAATTCAAGTTTTTGTTTATTTAATATTTCGAACACCGCGTATAGAATTACAGTAAACTTTAATATTATTTTAAAAAAACTTTGTTTAAAGTAAGCTTGTTCTTATATAAAATGATCTTTATTCAATATCCTCTCTAAGATCTCAGATACCCAGTTTATAAGAGCGATCATGCAGGTGAAACAGCATTTTCTATATTTTAATCTGCTAAATCAAAAGGATATGTGGATCTTATGTAAGATTATTTATATTGAATGGCTTGACTACACGTCATAATTTAAGCCTGTTTTTAATTAGGGACTACGAGTTAGCTTATTAATATTTAAAGATAAGGTTCTATCAATGTTAGAGAGAGGCATAGATTAACTGGGGATAGAGCTTGAAAGAGGGGAGGGAGAGAGGCAGTAAAGAGAGGAAGATAGGAGGTAAGGGACTTCTTTATACCTCCCCCTCCCCCCCCCCTCACCACCACCACCATATCCCCCATCCCTCAAAAAAATTTGTTAAGGTTTTTCTATCTATTGATTTCACTTTTTGTACCTGGAATATAGGTATCTTCAGAAGAATCTTTCACCATTTTACAAGAGCTCCGTCAAGTGTTTCAATGCAGGAACTCTACAAGAGATAATCACCACCATGGAACAGCACCCAGAATGGTCTCTCGCCCAGATAGCAAAAGAACTTGACTTGAGAGAGTGCCTCAGTCATGAGCGTATAGCAGCATCTGATGACCAAGGGAAAGGGCCTCATCCACTGCATGTTGCTTGTAAGGTAAGGAACAGTTTCGTAAGTTATCACCTGTCACCCTCTTTCCTTATGTCTTTTTGTCCTAAGTTTAGTATACAGTGATCCCATCCCTAAACATTTGGATTTCTATATTTTGTATCACACTTGACTACATAACCAACAAGGCTCAAGATGACTTGGTTCTAAGCTTCCATCAATATGGAAACAAGAACTCATATAATCAGAAAATTGATTAATAGGAGCCAAAAATTCATGTCTCAATTCTTGGGTTGCTTGTTACGTAATAGCTGCCATCTTGGTTGACAATGACAAAAGTATACCTTATTAGCTTCTCTTGCTAGATCAACCAACATGGTGGCTGTACCAGAGAAGCATTAGAGTGCATACCATATTATATCCATGGAAACGTTTACTAACAAAATTGTACAAATTAATGCAATTGGTTTATAGGTTCTACTGTACTTACTAATTTGTGGAAATTTGTACAATTTTATACAAAGTTTTTCATAGTATGCACTGTACTTTACATAGCTTGTACCAGCTAATATAGACCCCCACTTTTGCTAATCCCCCCCCAATACACATCACATTTTAGTCTGGAAATATTATTATTCCATATGTACATATACCCCATTTTAAAGGCTGTTTATTTGTTCTTGTCAAAGCTACATTTTGTTTGCCTACAGGGTGGTAAGATGGACTTTCTTCAAAGTCTAACAAAAATGAATGCCAAGGATTTCGTGAAAGATAAACTTGGAAACACACCTTTGCACTATGCCGCTGAAAACTACCCTGAAATGATGATATCCATGGTTCAGAAAGCACAGTATCTTGGTGAGTTTTTATTATCTGTAAATAATACAGAATAAAACTTTCCAACTTGCCCAAAGTCCACCTCTCTTGTTTCCTGTGTCAAGGAAAGAGCTAGCTTTGCAGCAGAGATACACAAGGGGCGGCACACTTTAGAAAAGTCTGATATTTCCTTAAATTCCCTTCAGTGATCATGAAACATTGATTCAAAGTCAAGGTTGGAGTTGAAATGTGTTTATAACACTTTTAGTTTGCATTTTATCAAGTTGAACTTTGAACCATTGTTTCTTGGTCATTTGAGCAATTTGAAAAAGGTGTATTACGTTTGATCTCAAAATTAAAGGAATTAAAAGGGTGAGAAATAGAGGGAGCAGTTCTCCTCTCTCCTCCCCTCCCACTCCCCTCCTCTCCCCTCCCCCCTCCCACTCCCCCTTCCCTCCCCCCAGAATCACTAATTCTTCTCCAGACTCTCCACTTCCCATTTTTCTATCTTACAGCTGCTCATTCATTTGTTTGTATAATAGCTTGTTAACCAAAGTGTATAAGTGAAATGCTACTCTCCCAAATTCCAGGAATAATAATTGAGCATTTTATTAAATTAATCCAGAATCCTGAATTTCTTACATGGGGCCGGGGGGAAAACATGAAACTAAAAAACCTCTCAAATATTTTCTATCCATTTTTAAGGAATGCAAATGTCAGATATTGTGAATTCACGAAACGTTGATGAACAAACAGCCCTTGACGTCGCCTGCCACTTCTCTCAAGAGAACGGTGTTCGCGTGCTCCTGGAGGCGGGAGCAGACGTCAATCATGTTGAAGGCTACACCAAGCCCATTCATACGGCACTTAAGTCTAATGGAACTCGGTGTGCTGCGCTGATCTTAGAGTTTCACCCAGAACAGATAAACGAAAAAGACTTGAAATATGGTGCTTATCCTATACATTGGGCCAAGACTAAAGAGGTAAAATAGTTTAAAGTGTTTTTTTTTTCTTTTCTTTCTTTTTGTACGTTTAAATTTTTTTTATCAAAACAAACTTTAGTCAGATCAAAGTAAGGGCATGACTAACTCACAGATAAAATTGGAATATAACAGGTTAGTTTTTTAGAGGGAGAAAAATCTTTTAAATTAATCTTACCTTAGGTTATAATATAGTTACTAAGTTTCTGTTATTCTCAGACCGTTGAACTTCTGCTCAAGAGCGGAGCAGATATTGAGTGCACGAATGACGATGGCGAGACGGCTTTACACGTAATGGCGAGGCGACGACGGCTTGGTTGTGTTATCGCCCTGTTGTCCTCCAATGCTAATGTCAATCCACGTAGCAACAGTGGAAGTACACCTCTGCATATCGCAGCAAAGGTATCTAAAACAATTTTAAAAGTGTAGGGTTATTGTAAAAGTGCAGTTGAACGGTGCGCTATAGTGCGTAATGACTCGCGTGAGAGTTCTCCTTGCATGCAACTTGGAATTAGAACAGTTTTCGTTGTATGACTGTGACTCTTTAAACTTCACGGTCACGGCACGCTAACTGCACTAAACTTTTCACAATCATGCGAAAACTGCTCCATTGCGCTCAACGCTACCAACTTTATGACAAAAACCGAGTTTGGGCTAACTGTGACACTACCAGAGAAGTACAGTTTAAGTAAGAACTGAACCACCATCAACTGTGATGTGGTGTAGTGTCGCTAAATTGCGGAATTGCTGTCAGCTTGAAGTTCTGAAAATGTTGCGGGCGACGCTACCAAGAACATCAAAGAACCACAGTTAAGGTGTGGTACGAAATAGGAGCAATAAAATCCTGCAACTCGTTGCGCAACATTTTTGAGTTAGAAGTTTAAGGAGCAAAGGTTGCTCGTATTACAATCCCGCGCTATAAGTTTTCTTTTTTAGTATACGATGTAGACTGAAGCTGTCTTTACTCTTTGCAAGAAATAAAGTTTGTTGCACTTGGAGTGGTCTACAACAACTTTTAAGTACCCAACCCCCCCTGGTAATCGTCAAGGGACATCCTTACCTGCTTTTGTTTCTGTTTCTCAAGGCAGACGACTGTGACATCGTTCGGGCTCTCATCATTTTTGGCGCAGATGTAAATGCCATGGATAACGACCACTACACAGCTAAACACATCGCTACCAAAGAACAACAACCTCGATGGAAAGACGTGGTTGAAGCTTTGAACTTTGTTGGTGCTTCTCAATGTGACAAACAAAAATCTGGTTGTAATCTCCCTTGCGCCAAAGCTTTTCATGGAGAAATAAGAATAGGTTAGTTCTTTTTGAAACAAATGAATGACACGTGATCAGTTGTTTTGGTCTACTGACCCAAAGTCAAATGCAATATTTATAGGAGATGCTTCCAATAAAATGTCATCGAGCCTGCTAAGTATGCCGGGATACGAAGATCTCATTCGCGCTGCCGCTGTTGCTGCTGCCCTGGGCAACAAACCAGGTAAGTCACGTGATGTTACCCGATGTATCCGCTGGCGACAATCACTGCACTCTCATATTCAAACCTCAGTAGAAAACTGGTAACGATCGACGTCACACTGAGTTTGGGAGGGACATCCCACAGTTCCATAAAGGCTGCGTTCCTTTCCAGTCCCCGCAGACAGCCGAATTTATTTTTTTCTTTAATTTGTTTCATAAGGGAAAGACTCAGTCGATGGTGCTGCTAAAAGAAAAATCACAAAATCAATCTTCAAAGAGAAACATGGCCGTGATTCGGTCCTAACAATGGACGGTGGAGGAATACGGGGCCTGGTACTAATACAACTACTGCTGGCCATAGAGGAAGTCACTGGTCAACCAATTGTACGGTTGTTTGATTGGATCGGTGGGACGAGCACTGGGGGTATCTTGGCCCTCGCTCTTGTACATGGTAGGGCTCAGAATTACTACAGCATTCTAAACAAATAGAGCGAAATACTAGACTAGCATTTGGTTGGTTGGAGAGAGCGCATATTTTGGCTCGCAATTGGCTTCTACGTTGAACCAATCAAAAGACTCAAAAAACGCGCAACATCCAATCACATTGCTGGAATGTAGAAGCCATTTCAGAGTAACCCTAGTTTCCTCCGCAGCCGTCATTAGTTTCGGTCCCAGATCCTGAAATTAATGACGGCTGCGAAGAAGACCAGAGTAACCAATACCTTCAAAAATCTTCAAACCTTCATGATCAATCACTCCTTTTTTTAGGCCAACCCAATTTCGTACTTATTCATTTTTTGAGTATGAAAAATCTTTTATATTTTGACAGGAAAATCTGCTCGTTACTGCCAAGGATTGTACTTCATGATGAAAGACCATGTGTTTACAGGACCTCGACCGTACAACTCGGAACCTTTGGAAAGATTCCTTCGAGAAGAGTTTGGTGAAACAACTACAATGACTGCAGTCACTCATCCAAAGTAGGTTGTTGCTGTAAACCGCACTGCCAGAAAGAAGCGCTAGAATCTCTTTAGCAATGGCCCAAATAGACCTCTTTACCTTGGGTGTAAGGTTCTCCCATTTCGGAGAACGTGTCACTGATTTCACTAGAATATCATTTCTTTGTTTAACTGTTACACATGAGATGACACATAAATATGAATATAACTCAAACAAAGAATCTTATTCTCATGAGAATGATGTGAGAATGATACGTGATCTGAAATGAAAAGACATTAAAACCATGCCATGTTAAAGAGGTATATCGTGCGAAAGATGAATTTTTGTATACGACTTTGAAAAACCCATGTTACAAATACGCGGTGCCGTGCCGAGACGGGATCGTGTTCTGATTGGATGAGCAGTGATCTCGCGCGATCAAGGTGGTTTACCTTTACTTCTGTCTGTCCGCAGAGTTCTAGTAACCGCTGTCCTCGCAGATCGTCGTCCAGCAAGTTTGTACTTCTTTAGGAACTTTGATATGCCCGAGGACAAACCAGAAACGTCAGCCAAGTCTCCATTTCCCTCTCCGCCTGCTCCATCAGGTAACGAATTGTTTCTATAAGTGATATTATATGTTGCCATGAATATTGTTATATTCAGTTTTCTATTCGTTTCCAGCCCAGTACGCGTGGCGAGCAGCGAGAGGGACTGGTGCCGCGCCCACATTCTTCCGTGCCATGGGACGGTTCTTAGACGGTGGTCTAATGGCTAACAACCCAACTCTTGATGTCCTGACAGAAATCCACAATTACTATAAAGTCCATGAGCCCACAAACGTCAAGTCCCCTGGGTCATCAAAAGTTGGTCTCGTTGTGTCCCTTGGTACTGGTGTCCCTCCGACGAAACATGTCATGAATATTGATGTGTTTAAACCGGAGTCCATATGGGATGCGTCTAATATCATAATGGGCGCACGCGCACTAGGCGCCTTGTTAGTTGACCAGGTAGGATGTCTTGTGGAAACCAATTGAAGTCTTGAGTTTGCAAGCGCGAACAAATCAATGAAATTTTTTACAAGGCTGTACCGATTTTCGAATTGTCCTTATCTGGTGCCTGCAGAAGGGTCCCAACATTGCTGTCCAATTAGCTTTCCCCCACCAAGAATATTTCTTAAGGAGGGTCTCAACATTGCTCTCCAATTGGCTTTCCCCCACCAAGAATATTTCTTAAGGAGGGTCTCAATGTTGCTGTCCAATTGGCTTCTCCCCACCAAGAATATTTCTTAAGGA